TTTCGCCTGGCCAGGCCCCCCGAAAATCATCGTTTCGTTCGAGACATCCCCCCGCGTGGGGCGTTCAACGAGTTCTATTAGGACATCGAATATTCAACATGAGGCCCCCCCCACTACTCGAAGCATTCGATTGTTAGTGAGCTTGCGGATTTTGCCGATCGCGTAAAACTAGAAGCCCATCGATAGAAGACATCCGCAGAACACGGGCCCGGAGGGAAGCCGGAATCAAACGCAACTGCAACTTCTCTCGGAACATCTCTGCAGCATCGAGCTCGGTGGGAGAATTCCAGACCTGCATCATTCTGGGAGCGCTCCTGAGAGGATTCGCAACGGCGCGCGCGAGCCCCGAAGGCGCCCCAAGAGGACCGCAACAGCGCGGGAGAGCGCGCCAAGAGGCCTTTCATCATCAGCAGCGGCATCGTGAGCATCGTCAGCATCGCTATGTTTGCGGGTGAGACTTGCCATTCTAGCTTATTCTACTGCTATGTTTGGCGGGTATTCGGCCCTGCTCGCGCGAATGGGCGAAATCCTGGGCGCATCGCCTGACGAGCCAGGATTCGCTCAAGATTAAACCCTCAGCAGGGGTAATGATTCCATCCCCGCCAGCATCATGACTTGTTCAAGCAGACGCTAAAGAAGCAGTGCGGCCACAAACTGGAGGGGGGGGGGGGGGGCAAAGGACTACTGCAGTTACCTCGGTCCATGCGTTGTCCAACGGGAGACGCGTCGTCGCGAGGTCGAGAATAGAATGAGGGCTGCGCGTGCTTTTTTGGTTTTCGCTCGGAGGTGCCTGGGGCCTCTCGGCCATCCCATCGCACGTTCCGCCGCGCGCGCCAGGCTGTTGTAATCGACTTGCGCTCTACGCGGGATTCGATTGCTTTTCTGCCAGCGGGGGGAGATTGCTGCAGGCTGGACAAGGCTCGGGCAGGCCATTGCAAGGTGGTCACGCGAGGGAGCGCGGCGCAACAGGTTGGAATGCACACGCAGCAGATGAGCACAAAAGGGCTGCTTCGTCATTCGGGTTTCAGTTCCAGCGCGCCGAGCTCAAGTTGAAGCGCCTGCGCGCCTGCAAGGGCTGGGCGGCTGGGCCGCAGCGGCGCTCCCAGGTCATGCGCGTCCCGTTCGGTGATCTCCACCTTGCCGTCAAGTGTTCCCCGGGTTCGTGCTTGCTGCCCCGCAGAGGTTGCTTCTCCTTTTGTCCTGCAGTCTGCGAAAGATGGGGGGCTCGCGGCTGGTCGCCTGGATCGCAGCGCACCGGCGCTATACGAGTCGGACCCTATACCGCGTTGAGACTCAGACGCCCATGCAGGAGTGGCAACGCTGGAATTGAAACGAGACGCGCAACAGTATTTGGCGCGCGCCCCCCCTGGTTAGGGCGCCCCCCCCCCCCGCCCCCTCCTGGATCGCCGTTGGGGGGGGGGTCGATGTTGCGATGTAGTCGAAGGGGCCCAGCGCCTCTTTGCGTTTCGCGGGCCGACAAGACCTGCTCGACATTTGCGCTTCGCCCGCCGCGATCGCAAGTTTGTTTCAACGCGCGCCGGCATTTGCGCGCGCTTGAATTAAGCGTTCCCGAACCGCGCCCCAGCGCGCAGACGTCTCCGGGGCCCCGCTGCTCGTGGTCATTGATTTTCAGGGCTCTTCTGCCCTGGCCCCGGCCAGGGCCGCGGCCCCCCGACTGTCCGCGCGGCGGCTCTCCGGCGCGAGAGTCGCCGCATATTTGCGCAACCGTCTTAAGCAGCACCTACCTCGAATCATCTGCCCTCGCCGATCGAGACGCGGGTGCCAGATGGAAATAATAAAGCGACCGCCCCCGCCGGGTTCAGCCGGGAGAAACCGAAGCGAAGCGCCGACGGAAGGGGGGGTCGCAGCGGGTCGCGAGAATGAGGCGGCGCAGGCATGGCGGGTTTATTGGGGGGCTGCCGCCGAGCTCGCGCGGATCGCATCTGGTCGACCTCGGCAGCTGCGCGCTCGCCGGCAGGACGCGCGCAAGCGCGTAGCTTCGCACGGGCGCGGACAATTGGGCCGAACGATAGCAATGGGAGATGCGCCCCCCCACCCACGCGGGCCCAAGGCGCCGGCGCAATTGCTGCGTCGAGGAGATGCGAGACCGCGAGAGCAGTATCACATCCAAGATGCCCCTTCGGATCCCCGGCGCGTTGCGCGAGGGTGCAGTGGGAGGCCGATGGCGCGGCTCCGGCGAGCGCCATCTTCCTGAACGTCGATCGCCGCTCGGAGCTCGGCCTTAAATTGCATCCAATCCAATCGTAGGGGCCGCGCCGGGGAAAGATGGGGCTGCGGCGCCTTGTTTCGCGAGGGCCGTTGGAGCGGGAGGCGTCGAGAACGCTGGAGGGAATGTGGGCGGCAGCGTTTCAGTTCGGCGCTTCGCTTCAAGTCCGCGCGCGCTGCTTTGGCAGGCAGCGGGCGTTTCGCGGGCCCGTCGTCGAGGGGGGTGATCCCACGAGACGTTTCGGGGCGCGCGCAGAGGAGGGGAAAGGTCCAGGGGCGGGGATCTCAGGGCGCGCCATCAACGCTTTTCGCCCAACTGCCCAGGCGGTAACCATCCAGAGGGATGGGTCGGGCGGCGCGCATCGCGTGGGCGCGGGGGTGGGGGGCGGGGCGCGGGTCGGAGGGGGGGTGAGGCGATCTCGGAGCCTCAGAGCTGAGGGCAGCAGTTTGGCCCGCGCGCCCCGGCGCGGGGCGCCCCGTCTCCGCTTGCATCATGCGCGTCAGCAGTTGGCGGCGCAGTAGCCCCCCAGAGTTCGGCCGGTCTCCAGCTTTCGACGCGGTCTGCTGCTAGAGAATTTCACGGTTTCTGATTTGATTTGATCATCAGCATCGCCATCGCCGCCGCCACCATCGTTGCCGCCATCGTCGCTATCATTCGCATACCCCGATCAGCCTCATCGTCGCTATCGTCGTCGCCATAATCATCGCCGTCGCCACCGCGCGCAACGCATCAAACGCATAACGCACGCGACGCGCACAACACACAATGCACCCCCAGCACATGAATGCCCGTGTACAGACACACGCATACACACCGCGCAAGCCACGCACGCGCCGCGGCCCCCCTCCCGCCCGCCCAGCACGCGCCCCGCGCGCGCGCGCCGCGCGCCGCCTGGCTTCGCGCGCGCGCCACGCACTTAGGCCACCCGCCCAACCAAAACAACCACGGGCAACCAGCCAACGCAAGCTACCAATGGCAACCACTCCAGGGAAGCTACGCGATGGCACCCCATGTGTCCCCGCGTCGTTTGGGGCGCGTTTCCCTGCGCGCGCGCATGCGAGTCCCAGGAAGCAAGCGGCGGCTTCCTGTTCTTGTTCGATCAGGTCGCGCGACGCGGAGGGCGGCGTTCGGCGCGCGCCACGAATGGGCCCCCCGGGCGGCGCGGCGACTTGACTCCGCTGCGAACCCCGACCGGGGATGCGACGCGCAACCCCTCCGCGCCAACCCTCAGGGGGGCTGGGCGAAGCAGCTTGACCGCGCGCTCTTCCGTCGCTTCGAACAGCCTGCCGGCGGACCCCTGAGCCCCAACCGGCGCCTCCAAGCCGCGCTGCCGACGGCGGGCGCGCCTTCCCTGTCGGCTGCCCCGGCGGCGCCCGCCATTCTGTTCCGCGACGCGATGGATTGTCTCCGGGCCATCTCGTCGTGCGATCGACCGGGCGGGCGCGTCGCCCCAGGCCGCAGGCGCCATCCGCGCGTCTTTCGATTGGATTGGCTGCGCCGCAGGGTCGCGACCCAAGCCCGCCGGGGCATCCGCGGCCAAGAAAGAGAAACTGTTGCGGCCGCTCGAAGAGGACCGCGGCCTACGAGGACGGAGACGCAGGGGCAGGCAGCCCGCCCCTCCCGCGCCAGCGACCCCGGCCAGCCCGACGCGCGTCTAAATAGCAACCAGGGGCGGCGGCTCTGCACTCCTGCACGCCTGCCGGGCCCCCGCTGTCGGCACTGCCGCCAGGGCGACAGCCTCTGCAACGAGCCCTTCGACCCGCGCGGCCGGCGCGCAGTCGAGCACGAGGCGGGCGAGTCGCGTGGCGACCGCCGCAATTGTCGGCGCGATCGGCGTTCCGCGGAGCGCAGGGAAGTCACGGGCTTTGCGGGACCCGCGGAGCAGGCCGCCCCGCCTGGGATCGCCACGGCGCCCGCGCAGGGGTTCTCCAGCGAGCCGTCTTCGACTTCTCCGCGGGCGACCGGGCCGCCAGCCTCCTGATCTTCGTCGATCGGCGCATCGTTGGCGCGCGCCCAACCTGCGCTTCACGCAGGGGCGCCCGCGCCGACAAGGATGGCTTGGCGGTCGCCCAGGCAAGGATGAGAAGCGACAGCGCTACCCCCCGCGGGGGCGAGATAGATCCGCTCGCATTCCAATACAGGGGGCCAGCCCAGCGACGAAGCAGTCAAGTTTGCGCGCAGCTACGGAGCGGACTTGGACGGCGAACGCTCCGAGCTGTTGGGCGGCCCCTGACGGCAAATCAGTAGAAATGCTGAGATGCTCCTGAGCGCGCTCGGGCGCTAGGCCAGCAACGGTGCCGGCGATTGCGCTTGCACGACGCAACGACCGCCCCCCGTCGCCCCCAGGCCTCCCTTCCCTCGTCCTCTCCTGCCCGGCCGCCCTTGCCTGCAACTATCGCCCCCTCACTGTCTGTCATGTCGCGGCTTACCTTGACCGATCGGATCTAGATTCCCACGGGAAGCGCGCAATGTCGGCGCCGGTTTCCACGCGGCCGCTTGCCCGGCAGAGTCGGTGGGCCCAGCGACGCGGCCCTGGGGCCTGCCTCCTCCTGCCCCTCCTTCTCCACCTCCTCCGAGGCTTGCCCAACAGAGCTGTCCAGGGGCCAGCGGAGGGACACGCGGACCCCCAATTCAGCCCCCACTTTTTTCAGCGCCGGGGAGGGGCAGAAGGGAGGGAAGGGTATGGTAGGGGAGGGAGGGAAGGAGGGAGGGAGGGAGGGAGGAGGAAAAGGAGCAGGAATAGGAAGGGGGAGGCGAGACGGGGGCGGCCAAGGACGCCCTCGCGAACGAGAAGGCGGCCGAGGATAAGGAGACTAGCGCGGCGGCGCGCATCGCGGTGCTGAAGGAGAAGTTGGAGCAGAAAAAGGCAATGTTGGCCAAGGTCTGGGGGGGAGGTTGTTGGAGGGATGAAGGGGAGGAGGGAGGTCAGAACCAGATAAGGTGCCGATACAGTTCCTTCGGTTTCGCAGTTTTTTGGCCTCTGGCGCGGCCCTCGTCGTTTCTTGTCAGACAGCATTCCAGGAGAGGTCCAAGGAGTAGCGGGATCGGTATTTATTGGTTCCCCCACTTCGAGGGATTGCGAGGTCGATGGGGGGATGAGGACGGAGAAATGGGCAGGATTGGGATGCGGCAAGACGCGGAGGGAAAAGAGATTGAAGACGAAATGGAGGAGGACCAACGTAAACCCAAGAAACATCAACGAATGTGTAATAAACCCTCCCTCCAAGCTTCATTTTCGTAAATCCTAGTCGAATTATTCTTCATTGCGGGAAGTGCAGTCGCTGCCAGAGAACCGTGGGAAACAACGTGCCGAAACACAGTTCTTGGGACTTCAGCGCCGCGAATCACTGTGACTGCTGCGTCCTGACAGTTCTCAATCGTGCCAGAACACCACTCCTGTGACTTCAACGAGGCAAATCAACATGACTGCTGCGTTCCAAGAATCCGAACTTGCGTTTTCATACCGTTTTGGGAATTCAACCGTACGAGTCATTGGAACATTTTAATACGAATGCGCGCGGCAATTAGGCGAGAACCACATGCTGAAAACCAGTCGCCCTCCATCCTCGACAATGGTGCAAAGTTTTATACGATTGTGCACGGCGCTAGGATGGGAGTCGCATTTTGAAAACCAGCCGCCCTCCATCTTTGAAGCTGGTGAAGTTGCAGGACCGTAAATGGTGAGGACGTTTCAAGCCAAGCGCCCAGCCCGCCCTACCGACGCGTCTGGGGGCGCGACAAGTATAGATAAGGGAAAGGATGGCGGAGGAGGAGGAGGAGGAGGAGCAGGATGAGACGGGGGAGGGCAAATGGAGCGACGAGGAAATGGAAGGGGAAGATCAGCAGCAGGATCACCATCAGGAGCCGCATGAGCAGGAGCATGACGGAGAAGGGGACGAGGACGAGGGCAGCGGCGAGGACGGGGGCAGCCGAAGCGGAGCACGGGCAGGCCTGCGGAGCGGAAGGGGGCGGGAGCGGGGCCACCGAGGGGACGGAGGGAGCAGGGCGGAGGACGGAGGCTCCGAGCGAGCGGAGGCGGGGGGGCAGGGCAGGGGCCCAGGACGAGACCATGCTGAAGGAGGCCCAGGTGCAGAAGCAGCTCCTCGAGAGGGCGGAGCAGGCGGAGGGCGGTTCCCGGGAGGAGGCGCGGCAGCAGGAGCGGCCTTTGGCCGACCGCGGGGAGGGGCGAGAGGGGGCACGAGCCTCCCGATGTGGAAGGGATGCAGCAGTCAGCATGCAGCATGTGGCGAGTCCCGCACGCGGGGGACAGGTCTCTGTGCGGAAGGGAGGAGGAGGAGGAGGAGGAAGAAGAAGAGCAATACTACTAGTATTATTGTTACTACTACTACTATGACTATGACTATTACTACTACTACTACTACTACTACTACTACTACTACTACTACTACTACTACTACTACTACTACTACTATTACTAGTAGTACTACTAGTACTACTACTACTACTACTACTACTACTACTACTACTACTACTACTACCACTACTACTACTACTACTACTACTACTACTACTACTACTACTACTACTACTACTACTACTACTACTACTACTACTACTACTACTACTAGTACTACTACTACTACTACTACTACTACTACTACTACTACTACTACTACTACTACTACTACTACTACTACTACTACTACTACTACTACTACTACTACTACTACTACTAACTACTACTACTACTACTACTACTACTACTACTACTACTACTACTACTACTACTACTACTACTACTACTACTACTACTACTACTACTACTACTACTACTACTACTACTACTACTACTACTACTACTACTACTACTACTACTACTACTACTACTACTACTACTACTACTACTACTACTACTACTACTACTACTACTACTACTACTACTACTACTACTACTACTACTACTACTACTACTACTACTACTACTACTACTACTACTATACTACTACTACTACTACTACTACAACTATTCCTAGTAGTTAGTAGTAGTACTACTACTAGTAGTACGACTACTACTACTACTACTACTACTACTACTACTACTACTACTACTACCTACCTACTACCTATTACTACTACGACTAACCCTGGGAAGCAATCAGTAAAGCCCCCTCCCCCCCCCCCCCCTCATCAGAGGAAATTATAACGCTTCTGGCACCGGGGCCGGGGCGGAAGCGATATCCCCCGCAGGTCACCAGAGGTCCGCGGAGGGGAGGGCCCCGGAGGTTCCCAGGAGGCATCCAGAAAGGCCTCCA